AACGCATTTCTTAAACGCGCAAATTATCAAAACATGCAAAGAGCTGTCAAAACAAAATGTTATATGCGTGGCCATATAAGGCATGCAACTGCACACCTTTTTTGCAAAGACCTGAATATATTAATATATTGAACCACATTTCAATAATATATTATATAATGTATTATTATATTATATATTATACTATATATTAATGCAATTATATAATATATTGTATAGTATGTACAAAAAGTAGAAACAAAGTAGAAGTATAATTAAAAGAAAAAAGACAAAAGTAAAAAACTATTAAAAAATTTAATGAGATCAACTTTTTACAATTTTAACAAAACAATTTTAACATCAATTTTATCAATTTTAACAAAACAATTTTATTATAACATCAATAGACTACTTCTAGTCATATACATACTTCTATTAAATTATATAAATTATAATAAATTATATAAATTATAATAAATTATATAAATTATAATAAATTATATAAATTATAATTAAATTACTTCTATTACTTAATTATATTAAGATACAACACATATGGTAGTAAAAAAAACATCATTATAAATATATATTATTTCTCATTTTGACATCATATTTTTGCTGTATTGGTTGTGTTTCTTTAGTGTGTTAGTAAGTAATACTCATTAGTGAATTCTTTAGAACTGTTTGATTTGTTTCAAATCATTTAAAATATTATTCTGATAAAAAGTTAAAAACAGCAAATCTAAAACAGTAAATTTCTTACTAAATCAACAACTTTAGGCTCATTTTCATTATCACCCAACAGGTTGAGAAGCTTTAAACTCAATGGTTGAAATGATCGGCTAACCTCAACTTGTTTGCAAGTTGTTTCCAAATCTAAAAACAAATTGCAACTAATATTATTTCAATAAAATACTTTTACTTATTAGCAAGTAGCAAACAATTAGCTGATATAAATAATAAGTTAATATATTATGATTTCATACAATTACAAGGTAAAGGTCGTTATGAAAATCATAACAGCCTCAACCTTGTATAAAAAAAGTTTACCCTTCTTCATACAAAGAGTTCATAAAAGTTCACACCCAAAAGAACTTTTATCCTCCACAATAAAAAAAAGTGAATCTTGACACTGTTAGGTAAGGTTTACTCTTCAAGAACACAAGTAAAATTAAGAACACAAGTAATGCTAGGAAATAACCTAGCAAATTGCTTTGTGGTCTTAAACACTAATTGCGCTTCATAAGAAAGAAACAAAATAGAAATTATAAGTTAGTAAAACACAGTAGCACTATCTTTTATTTAATTATATTTTTTATATGAACAAATTAAACAAAATCAATCTAAAATAAATAATAAAAAAACGACCTAGAATTTTTTTAAATTAAAATACCTTACTTTTCGGATAAGTCCATTGAGCATTCCACAATAATCTTATAGAATTACCATTAAGGGTATAATTAGGACCACTAACTGAAAGGTTTGTAATACCAATGTTTGTAAATGCTAAAAAAAAAATTAAGATTTAAAAAAAAATACTATATGAAACAACAGGTAAATAACACTTAATTTGAAGAAATATATATAACTTTGTTTTATGCAAGCAACAAAAGTATTGTTTGGTATGTGTGCAAGCAACATAGGTAATGAAAAAACCAAAATAATGATTTACAAACAACAACAAATTTAATTAGAATCAGTAAAAATACAAATTAGGTAGAAAATTATAACCAATAGTGGTAGAGGTTATTGCTAGATTTAATATAATTAGCTCAATTATTGACATAAGCATAATTAACAATAATTATTGACATTTTGTAAAGTCAAGCATTTACAGAGTAAAGTCAATCATATACAGAAAGTCAGACATAATCATAAAAACTTGCTTTCGATTAGAGAGGTATGGCTGTCAAACTCAACCATCTCTTGGGTACTACTTTATTCAGCCTTTTGTTCTGCCTATCATTATAGTTTAGTCTTTGTTTTGAAGTTAGAGGTTAAAAAAAAAAGTGAAAATAAAGCAACGATAGGACTAAAGAGTAGCCTCCTAAGGGGATGTCTAATAAAAAAATTTTGAAGATTTATAAATAAATTTATTTAATAAACTTAGTTTATTGAAAAATTAGATAAATAAAAGTGCTTTAACTTAAAAAAAGTGTTATTTAAAACAAAAATTATGAAGCACTATGAACCCTAAAATAAGACATAACAGACTGTTGATTCTTCACAAAATAAAAAGTGACATAACAGACTGTTGATTCTTCACAAAATAAAAAGTGACATATCAGACTGTTGATTCTTCACCAAATCAAAAGTGACATAACAGACTGTTGATTCTTCACAAAATAAAAAGTGACATAACAGACTGTTGATTCTTCACAAAATAAAAAGTGACATAAAAGGCTGTTGATTCTTCACGAAATAAAAAGTGACATAACAGACTGTTGATTCTTCACAAAATAAAAAGTGACATAACAGACTGTTGATTCTTCACAAAATAAAAAGTGACATAAAAGGCTGTTGATTCTTCACGAAATAAAAAGTGACATATCAGACTGTTGATTCTTCACCAAATCAAAAGTGACATAACAGACTGTTGATCCTTCACAAAATAAAAAGTGACATAACAGACTGTTGATCCTTCACAAAATAAAAAGTGACATAACAGCCTGTTGATTCTTCAAAAAATAAAAAGTCACATAACAGCCAGTTGATTCTTCACAAAATAAAAAGTCACATAACAGGCTGTTGATTCTTCACGATATAAAAAGTGACACAACAGGCTGTTGATTCGTCAAAGAATAAAAAGTAACATAGCAGACTGTTGATTCTTCACGAAATCAAAAGTGACATAACAGACTGTTGATTCTTCACGAAATAAAAAGTGACATAACAGACTGTTGATTCTTCACGAAATAAAAAGTGACATAGCAGACTCTTGATCCTTGATGATAATCCTTCACGAAATAAATAGTGACATAACAGCCTGTTGATTCTTCACAAAATAAAAAGTAACATAAGAGACTGTTGATTCTTCACAAAATAAAAAGTAACATAACAGACTGTTGATTCTTCACAAAATAAAAAGTGACATAACAGACTGTTGATTCTTCACGAAATAAAAAGTAACATAACAAACTGTTGAGTTTTAACGAAATAAAATTACAACGATGTAGAGACTATGACAAAAGTTCTTCAATAACAAAAAAAAATACTCCAATACAAACATATATTTGTATTGAACTTTAATATAAAAAAATCAAATGTAAAAAAAAAGTATATTAACTCTAATGAGCTCTTGAACAACAAACAGAATTCTTGTCTTTTTCCTTTTGCTTTCACATTCTTTTAGCTCATATTTATACACAAGATGCCTCTTCTTACTGAATGTTTTTTTCATTTTCCACAACTAACTATTGTTTTGTTGTCTGCATAACTACGTATGTTTTAGAACATTTGACAACACAGTTACACAGACAAAATGTATAATTATTTTTTTGTTGTCACTATTAGGGAGTGGCAAATTCAGCAAAGAGTATGGGAGGAGGGGCATTCTAGTTCCTCTCCTCACACTCTCTGAGCTGGTCAACATGTGCGCCCTAAAATACAAGTTCCTCATTGCAAAATTCTGTGTATATTTTAAATAGAAATATAAAACTAGGCAACAGCAAGCCATTGTTTACATACCTTCCTTACAAATTTGTCTGCATTTATGGCAGAAAATAGATAGGAGACTTTTGTTTTTAGAAAATATCTCTTATATCATAATGTACTGAGTCAATGGTGTAGCTACTGTGACTGCACAGTGATGGATGTTCATAAAACTACAATGACTTTGCAAATGGTAAACATTTTTTTTTTCCCAAGGAGTAAATTATAAATTGACTAATTTCAATATTGTGCAGCAACTTGGATTTGTTTTTAAGTGTTAAAAATGTTTTCTGAAAAACCTGTAAAGCACCCGTTCCCCACTTTAAACCTACTTACTCTAGCCCTACTTTCAATAATGTATAGGAATCAATATTTCCAGTAATGACAACTGAGCTACAAATAAAAGAGATTCATCCATTCCTAATTAGGAAATAGATGACATCGTGTTTTCCTAATTTGTCTCTACTCTATAAAATAGACTTGACTCTTTTTTTCACATCTACTTTATTCAGCTTAATTTATATCTGATGCCTGAAAGCATTTGTGTAATAAAAACTCTCTAACAACTTTATGACTCCATAGTCAATTTAAATTTTGGAGGTTGGGTAGTAAACACAAATTTAAGATTATTAACTTTATGATGAGCAGTTATCTTGGACCAAAGCAACTTTTATATGATAGGAGAATATTTCAAGTTAAGTCCATCAAGAATTTTTTCTAGGACATGTCCTTTGAAGACCAAACATACTTAAAATCTTTTCTTCAGGTATATACATATTCTGCTTTTCAGGTTCAAAAGGGCCACAACAGTCAACAAAGCTTTTTATTTTGTCAATCCTTTCTCAACTTTATAAAGTCAAAACACAAGCATTGATAATCTAAGATGTTGCTTGAAGAAACAAGTTAGGTGCTGTACAAACAAGAATAGGGTTGTTGGGTTTCAGTCTATTCATTTTTCACTTATAAAGCTTTTCCACTACACCACTGTAACATTAAAATTACTTTTCTTCCTAATGATGTATTCATCAATAGGTGCAGCTGATTAAAAGTAGCAAATACAAACAGCTATTTATTGTATAAGTTGTTAAGAGTACAAAAAGTATTAAATTCAAACAGTTTAACAATTTAATAGGTTCATTAAAACAAGAAATAATCAATTTATGTAATCACAAATAATTATTTAATTTATGCAATTAATTCCTATAATTTAAAGATTCAAAACAGACTCAAAAAAAAGATTTTATGTCTAATAAAAGTCTAAATCAAACTGAAACAATAAAAACAAAGAAGATATTAAAGAAAAATACTTAAACTTATCTTTAGGTTCAATTTTGTTTTTAAATGTTATGAGTTCTTGTGTTTTAAAAATA